GATGTTTGCCAGACGTTCTCGAAGCTGTGAATGTTAGAGGTGCAATCTTGCATCACGACAATGCATCTAGTCACACTGCCCAACTAACTGTAGGCTTTTTACGCCAGCGACACATCAAAATACTAGACCATCCGTCTTATTCGCCAGATTTGGTAATGTATGACTTCTAGCTCTTCAACAATTTAAAAAAAAATATGCGTAGTCAAAAATTGTCGTCCGAACATCCGACATCGATCAAGCAGTTAATCAGATTGTTGACGGCATTCCAAAAACTGACTGGTTGGAAGCATTTCATTTGTGGAAGGGCAAGCTACAGAAGTGCATTGATGCTAGAGGAGACTACTTTGAACGTAAATAAACTAGTTTTCGACAAATAGTTTTTAGTTCTCGTGTATCTTCATACATAGCGTGGCCTTCATATTATATCGGTTTACTTTTAATCATACTATTGAAAAGAATGAACAAGAGAGCCATTAGATAGATTATGTAAATAGATTAAAATAAACCAAGCGGTTATCTTGTTATTTTTCTTCTGCATACGAGTATGTATACATCCGCAAAAGCTCTACATTTCTGAGCTATGCTCTCCTCTCCTCAGTAACAACTTCATACGAATACGTCTTGCCATAAGCAGTTCACCCTTCTGTTTCTTGACACGGACATAGTCGATAAGAAATCGGAAATTGTCCGAATGGCTCCACGAATAGAATTGATGTGAGTCTTGGGACTCTTATTACATAACTACAAAATGAACGTGTTGGCGCTTTTTCACTACATCGCTGAGATGCACTTGCAGTAGCTGTGTCTGCTGCCTAGTCTAGTATATGCTGTCGGTATGATGTATGTAACTTAGTGTAGCATCTGCCCTAGAGATGGCACTAGCGGCAGACATACATTCATTCATACCCTTGAGCACTCGATCGCCGCTTCTAGTAGCTTGTCGCCGCCACGTCCAGGCATTTATGAGACAGGGATTTGAATACACTTCAGCAGTTCAGGCAAATAACAGTCGTTGTTATATTCCGCCATAGGTGGCGTGAATAGGTGTGACGTGGGCTATCTGACTAGATTGATGTATTTATCTGGAGATGCCAACCTAATGCTATATTCCCGCATTCAAAAAATTATAAATAATTTTCCACAGCCGTTCCTCTTTTTGCTATAGCATATATATACTGAGTGACATATAAATCCGAACACCCAGTTTAAATGGTTTTATTTTAATAAAAGTTGGTGAATGTATTTATCTTACTGTAAATAACAAGTGAAAAAATTTTCAGCCTTATCAGTTGGACATTCCGGTTTTTATACTGCTTTTGTTTAATTCACTAACGCTCTAAAAATGAATATTTCAGCCGCAGTAAAGAATCAACGTAGGCGGATTTTGGTTCTTGACATCCTTTACGATCGGTTACGATGCCTAGAGTACGGAGACCTGTACGATTTCGTCAACTTAGTGAGTTTGATAGGGGCCGTATAGTGGGACTTCGGGAAGCTGGACGTTCTTTTCGGGCAATTGCAGTTAGAGTGCAAAGAAGTGTAGACACTGTGGTTAGGTGTTGTCAGGCATGGCTTCGAGAAGGCCGTACGCAAAGAGCAAGGGGCACTGGACGCCGCCGTAGAACAACAGACCGTGAAGATCGCCGCCTAAGATTATTGGCCTTAAGGGACCGTTTCTCCACTACCAGGTCCATTGCAAATGAATGGTTTGCAGAACACGGAAGACCTATTGGCATGCGAAGTGTTTACACGAATGAGAAGTTTTGGCTTGTTTTCATACCGGCCACAATGGGTCCTCTCTTTAACTCGAGAACACCGACGTAATCGCCTTGAGTGGTGCAGACAACGGTCACTCTGGGATCAGGAATGGAACAGTATTGTCTTTAGTGACGAGTCTCGATTTTGTTTAGGCATGTACGATGGTTGTGCCAGGGTTAGAAGGCAACGTGATGAAAGGAGGAATCCACAGTTTTTTGTTGAAAGACATGTTCATCACACTGTTGGAGTTATGGTTTGGGGTGCTATAGCTTATGGTTCCAGGTCACCTTTAATCTTCATCTTTTACCCTTCAAGTTCTAGAACCCCATCTTTTACCCTATCTTGACACCCTGACAGATCCAAATTTCCAACAAGATAATGCCCGACCACATGTTGCAAGAGTCACAATAGACTTCTTTCAACATAATGATGTGACATTGTTACCATGGCCACCAAGATCTCCCGACTTATCCCCAATTGATCACGTGTGGGATATGATGGGTAGGAGATTGCTCAATTTGCAACGTCCTCCTCAGACTCTAGAAGCACTTCGAGAGGAGTTGGTGGTTGCCTGGAATGAGATACCACAGGAGGACATTAACCACCTGATCAGAAGCATGCCTAGGCGCGTTGGAGAATGCGTAGCACATCAGGGTGCATCCACACATTATTAAAGGTCAAAGGGCTTTAAAGCAGTGCAATCATTTTGAAATTTTTATCATTTACTTATTATGCTTCATTAAGTACTTATACAAAATTCTATTAAAATAAAACCATTTAAACTGGGTGTTCGGATTTATATGTCACTTAGTATACTTTTAAAAGGTTAGTGTCTCATAGATGCCGCTGTAGCCACTTGTATAAGACAGCGCCATATATGAGGCATTGACTTTTTCAAAGTATGTCTGGTAAATAGAGAAACAGATGTGAAAAGTTCTCATAGATGATGCTACGGTATGTGATTTTTCTCGGAATATAGCATTAGGTTGGCAATCTTCAGTTAAAATACGTTAATCAATACTGGTACCTAGACTGAAATTTATGACGATTAGGTCGCTATTATTTTATACGATAAGAGAGTGGAATCTACGTAGCGGCACAGATATGCAGAGGTTTTTGGAAATTTTGCTCATATAAATGTAGGGCGAAATTTATATTTTTGTCTCTTATTGTAACAAGCGAATGAGTCTTGGTATGCACTTACTTGGGCGGTTTAAAACATTGAATATCAATATCATGGCCAAGCCATCACAACGTTTCGTGGGGCAGAAGTTAAAGAATAAAATCGACCACTTGATGCCTTCCGGGTGCCATAGCTTCAAATTAATGCCGGTTTCGGACTCTTAATCGCAGAATTTGCATTTTTGTCTCCTATAGTTACAAGCGAATGAGTCTCAGGTAATTTGGGGTGCTATACACAAATATTATCGCTCACAAAACGTAAATTGTCATGCCACAAGGAATAAAATCTGCCACTTACGAGTACAGCATCCCATGTGCTCTAACGTCAAATTGATGTGAGGTTCGGATTTTACGCAGCCAATGTGCCCAAGAAATGAGTCTATTCAAAGTACGCGTATGTACCAGTGGCGTAGCAGTTCCGTGTGGCGCACCGGGACACCAAGAGCTTGGGGCCTCCGTAGGAATCCCAGTGCCTCAACCTCTCGAATTATCGGAACCGGGTGATTGCTGAGGTGTCTGCAGATACGAAGAGTGACTTTACTTTCGAAGACAACTGACAACCTACACCCCTGCCAACAACTTACGTTTACGACGTTTTCGTTCAAGCCCGTGTTAGCCCACCAGATTCAAAATGCCGAAAATAGTCATTATCAACGTGCAAAATTCATTACAAGACCAATAGTCCAGTAAAATAATTCCGATTTTTATGAACACGTATAGAAGTTCCATGGTATATCGTACATTATTTATGCATTCATCGTAACAAATAAATACAAGATCATGCTAAATTATTTTCTAAAAGTTGTATCAATGATACGTTAATTTATTTATAAATTAATTTATTTATAAATTATCGTATCCCTAAATGGATGCTCTTAAACAGATAAACCAGTAAACCCGTAGTCATATTTATATGCTATAATAGACTAATTCTGAATTCAATTATCAATTTGTGTAGATACCCGCACTTGGCAACACGTTTTATTTTTCTCTTGCTACTTTCAGCAATACTCTCTCACTTTTTAACGATTGTTTTTAAAAACACTTTTCCAAAATTTAAAATAGGTGACTATGATTTGACAAGAAAATAATCCTTTTGTTTTTTTTAATCGAAATATCTTATTTTACTTGTGCGTCTGATATAGGTAGAGAATTTGCAATACAAATTGTTACTATTATTCCTTATTACTTGCTTTTCGTATAACATTGTCATGTTAAATAAATTTGGAATGCAGAAATAAATGTTCTTTCTTTTTCTTCAATGAAAATCTGGAACTTAGGCCCCATGAACCCGTTTTTCAAGATTGGGAATCTAAGATAAGACAAAATATAGGAAATTCTGTACACTTGATTTACTCAGGCATGTGTTATCATCTACATTTTACATGGAATACAAATACCCAGAGATTTTCAATTATTTTCTTATGGGCAGGATCTCAATTTTATTCTCCGGTTGTTACACGTCAATGAAATTTGGTACTATTTAATAATTTGGGACGCTGAATACGAATAGAACCGTACAAAATTGTGAAATATAGTGGCACTGACATTGGGACAGAAAATACGTGGCTTAGACCCTCCACCCCAGACATTTTAACGGTTTTGATTTCGGAATCCACTCCACCGATTTACCCAGAAAACCAGTTTGTTTTATATAAAACTTTAAAATAATTATACTGAGAACTTGCTAGGTTAAAATTTTTTGAGGCATCTTGAGTCGCTAGTTTTATATCATAGATTTTTTAACTGCATCCAGTGAGAAATTCAAAATATTTATGTTTAGAACTTGATAGGATAAGATTTCCATTCTCTGAGGCATCTTGAGTCGTTAGCTTATGCTATTTCAAAAGCTTACTTGTTATTTGATTTATGGCTAAGATGGGGAGGGGGTAAGAAAAAACACGGGCCGAAAATTTGAAAAAATGAGGTGGAATGTACAAGTGATGTTTCGTACGCTAAGATTTGTAATCATTGGCATTACTGTCATATTGTAAGTGCGTAATATTGCTGCGTTATAACGCTCAATAGAATTTTGTACGTTAGAAAAGTAAATACAACCCTAAATTACTATAAAACTTTATTTTCCTAAACTACACTCTATTTAAATACTTAAAACTAAATAAGTCTTCATAATTTATAAAATTCATGTAGAGGTTTAACCAAAATAATTACAATTTCAGAAATTATTTATCTATTTACAAAGTGCCTACGCAGGCAAGTAGTAGTAAAGTCTTTTGGACGGATCTTTTATGATATTTGGCAAGTTCTTCAGCTTCTCCGTTGTAGAAGTGTCTTCGTCTTCACTCATATCTTCAATTTCATGGTCATGGTCATGGTCATGTATGTGGTCATGACTGTGGTCATGATGATGGTCATGGTCATCATCAAGGTGGATATACTCTTCTTTGAATGAGCTCTTGTTTTCATGGCTACCACCGGGATTATGGTGGACCACTTCGTCAGGATCATCTATCTCGGGTTCTTCCACTTCTGGTTCGCTCCTCTCATCTCTATCCTCAATTCGTTGCTTTTCTGTCACCGTCCTGGATTCTTCGGCTTCTTTCCTTTCTTCAAATTGGTCTCCTTCTTCAGTGTCTTCAATTGCCGGTTCTTCCGTTACCTGATATCCCACTGGTTTTACAGTTGTTGTTGTAGTAGTAGTCGTCGTTACAAGTTTCTTGCCTTGTTTGAAAGATTTTCTACTAACTTTGGCCCTTGAAAGTTCAGCTTTGGTTGGATGCTTCTTAGGACCGGCCTGTTCTGAGCTATCCTTGCCTTCAACAATTTTTTCAATTTCCTCATCGGGTAAGTTAACTTCCATCAACATATTTACTGCTTTTGGTAGATTTGGGTCTGTGTAGTAAGTCTCGGGTTTTGGAATTATATCAGTCAACCTTGTAACTGATTCTTTGCCATTTGTTGGTTTCTTGATTTTCCTTTTCTTGGTTCTCAAATCAAAGTTTCTATTTTTAGCCTCGTCCGGCTTGTCAAAATTGCTGAGGAGATTTATCACCAATGGCCCTTCTGTAGTTTTGATGCCAACTGTAGTGCTAGCTACTGTCTCCCTGTATTTTTTAGGAAAACTATGCTGATTTTCTGCAGCTATAGGTTCCTCTAGGGTTTCTACCTCCTCGGTGCTTGTAACCGAGGCGGAAGTATCCTGATTCTTGTTGGGGTCAGATCTGTAGTTGCCTCCGTGCTTTTGGTTTGGATTGTAAGGTTGGAAAATCTCAACAGGTTTTTCCTCTTCGTCATTGGGGGTTAGTTCTTCTTTTTCTTGATTTTTGCCAGTCTTCTGGAGGGGTTCTTTAGGTTGCATCACTTCATCAACCGGATCTGCAACATCTTCTGCAATAAGTTTATCTTTATCTATGTCTTTATACCCTCCTCCAGTCTTCTTACTTTGGTCATATTTCTGAAAAACTTCAACATACTTTTTGGGTTCCTCAACAGTACCAGGTAAGTCAGTCTTTTGGTCAATATCTTCAACAATAAGTTTTTCTTTATCATTGCTTTCATAACCTCCACCAGTCTTCTTATTTGGCTCATATTGCTGAAATACTTCAACATACTTTTTGGGGTCTTCAACAGTACTAGGTAAGTAAGACTTATGGCCAATATCTTCAATAAGTTTTTCTTTGTCTAAGGTTATATAAGCTCCCCCTGTCTTTTTATTGGGGTCGAACTGTTGAAATACTTCCACATATTTCTTAGGCTCCTCAACAGTTTGAGGTAAGGCAGTCTTTTGTACATTGTAACTACCTTCAGCTCTATAATTGCCTCCAGTTTTCTTCTCGGGATCATATTGCTGAAATACTTCGACGTACTTTCTGGAACTGGGAGAAGTATCTGTTTTGTTTTCTGTAATATTAGCTGGCGCAGCTCTGTAATTCCCTCCGGTCTTCTGATTAGGGTCATGGGGCTTGAATACCTGGATGGGCTTTGCGTATAATTCCAGACTTGGCTTATTTGCAGCTATCTCTCCAGTTGAAGGCTCTTCTTTATAGTTACCCCCAGTTTTTACATTAGGATCATAGGGCTGGAGTATCACAACATACATTTCTTTATCAGCATCTCCTTCTTTGACTGAAGCACCATCTCCTTTACTCTCTACCTTACTAGCACTTGGTTCCTCAATTTCGTAAAGCCTTTGAAACCTAGTATCGGAGTTGTCCGATCTTCTTACCACCGATTTCGTCACCTCGTCAACAGTGTCGAATAAGAACTTCTCTGTAGTTGCTTGTAACCTTCTTCCGCGATTGTTGACTTGAGATGTTTCACTAGATACCCGTTCTGGTGATTCGGGAGATAGAGTTGTTGAATTGGTACCTTGACCAACAATCTTCCTTCTTCGTTTTCTTCTCCTTCGCTTTCTTGAAAGATCAGAGCTACCAATGGAATCTCCTACTTCTATAGATTGAGAGGTGTCAGATGTAGTACCGGAGGGAGGAGTTGCCGTAGTTCTGGTAGTACTAGCAGTCGTAGAGCTCACAATAGGTGTTACCATAGTACTGGATGGATTATCTCTTTCGACTGTTACGCTTACTTTGTCTTCAGAACTTTGGTTGCTCCTTTCCTCTTCAGCTTTTGGTGTGTCCGTTTTGGGTCTTTGGATAGTTGTGTACTTTGAGGTATCAACACCTGTTACAGGAAGGTAATGCTTGATCTTGGGTATGTAGTCGGTAATATCGAATATTTGGAAGTTGTTCATCCCCATACCACCCGGAGCATTCTGTACACTTTCACCTTGTGACTCTGACATTTCTGGTTCAGCAGCTTGAGTTGTGGTTGTAGTAGTTGTCTTCTTGTCTTTTTCATCTTCTATAAGTTTATATCCGATATTGCTTTTGACCTTTGAAAGTATGCTTAGAAATTCTGGGGGAGTGGTAGACACGGGCTTCAAAGTAGTGGAAACAAGATTTTCGGAACCAACTGATTTCTCCGTAGTCGTAGGATCGGGAATATGTACATAATTCGATGCACTCTTTAGTTTCTTAACAAAATCTATGTAGCTTTGCCCTTCGGGGGGAGGTGTGGCAGTTGCAAAGACTGGGTTCTGCTTAGGTTTTTCTGTTTCAAAAGGTATTACCGGTTCAGTAACCTCCTCGTATACCACCTCAACATCTTTGTCTTCTTCAAACTTGGGTACGTTGTGGTACACTATCTTACCAGTTTTGTCGTCGTAGTGCCAGTTTCTCGTTCTATTCGGAACATAATCATCAGCTTCAGGTTGACTTGTAGTAGCTTTTACCTTACTCCTAGATAGTTCAGCATATTTGGTAGCTACAGGACTTCTCTTACTTCTATGGAGTCTTTGTCTATTTCTGTTCAACTCATTTTTTAAGTAGTCTGAGTACATGAAAAGTTTTTGCTTAGGTGGGGGTCTCATACCTTGTACGTAGTACTTATTCATTTTATTTGGGTTGTACGTTTTTACTCCAGGTGGTTTTAGATCAACGACCTCCGTGGTCACTACAGCTTCAGTATTTTCTTCTGGAAGCTTTGCAGTAGTAGTAGTAGCTGGCGTGGTAGATCTAAGCTTCTTTTTGCGATATTTGACTCTTCTGATACGAGGTCTTTTCGATGTATCATCATACATTACAGGTTTTATAGTTGTCGTAGTAGTCGATGTAATTCTTGTATGGCTTGTAGAGCTTATCGGAGCATTCACTTCGTGGAACCCTCGATCTACTTGCTGTTTACCGGCTTTGTTTTTACTAATGTTCTTCAAGGTAACTGGGATGGTCTCTGAATAGTCTTTAGAGCTGTCATCAACTTGTCGTCTTGAAGAGTTTCTGATATGACTCATAACATCAGCTAATAACATGAGTTGCTCATTTGGTTTCATATCATCTTTATAGTACACCTCACTGATAACCTTGTACTTAGGAAGTGGGGCAGAACCTTCACCATACATATCAAGGTCATCAAATAAAGGAGCTTCTGTAGTGGGAAGGAATTTGTTGATGTCAAAAATCTGTAAGGTCGGTCTGACTATCCTCACTTTAATTTTGTCTTGGAAACTAGCTTGTTGGTAATTAGAGCTATAGGGGCTGCTGTTGATATACGGCCGTGGCGTTGAGTATGGTAAGGAGTGTGACGATGAAGATCTGTACTTTGGAGTTTCAGTTGATGGTTCCTTTCCATGTAGAGGAATAACGATTCTTGAAGGTGCGTATTTCGAACCAGTATCGCGGGACGAAGAGGGTCTTTTGTGTTTTATTCTGATCCTCCTTACTGCTTGAGCTCTGCCTACACCTTCACTACCTCCTAATACTGGAAATTTTGGCGCTACCTCCTCAATATAAATCTTTGGCTTTCTTTTATTTTCATCCAATGTTATCACAACTCTCACAGATTCGTTCGCTTTTTGATCATTTGGGTTCTCAACGACTTGGTCCATTCTTGACGTAGCATTTTGTTGACTGTCATTTTGACCTGGCAAGTAACCAAGTAGCTCTATCTGGTGATAGATGTGTTTTGGTTTCAGATCTATTGTATACTTTGGAGTGGTGAGTAAATTGACAGATTCGGTTGTAACTTCAAGTGGAGCTTGTCCTTTCTTGCTCAACTGCTTGGAATCAGCATTGGCATCTTTGGCTTCCATTGGTATAACATTTTGTCTTGGCTCACTGGCGCTGAACACTTCGTTCTCCTCGATACTTTCATCGTCATTATAAATATCTTCTGTCGTGCTGTGTAGCGCTATTTTTGGATTTATTTTAACTTTTCTTAATGAAATCGTGTTCGCCGAAGATTGGGAAGGTTTTGGTTTACTTTTGGGTGTTGTGCTTTTCTCATTATGTTCGTTTTTGTAGAGATCATGTGGTGGCGTTCCGTAAGGCAATTCCATATGGTCAAACTCATCTTTCATGTAAGGAACATTCAATTTTGCCAACTCAGCTCTAATATATTCTTCTTGAAGTTGTCTTAACTGTTCTTCTGAGTATTGATCTTGGAGCTCCTTTAACTGCTCGTCTGTGTACTTTTCTCTAGGTGCAGCGGTTGGTAGTATAACTGGAGGAAAATCTTTTACCTGTTGTTTGATGAACTGTTCTCTTAATTGATGGTTTGTGTATGGTTCTTCTTGGTATTCTGTTGGTAAAACTGTGACAACAACTGGAAGGTGTCTCATCTGCTCCTTGATGTATGGCTCTTTGGAAAAAGCTGGAGGTGGTAAAGGAACGCTCATGCTGAGCTTATCATTGAAGTTTAAAACAGGTTTGACCGGACCTACCGTTGGCTCAGCAAAGAATGGACTATCGAAGGGATTTGCACCAAAATATTTAACTTTGAGACAGTCTATTTTATCTCCTAGCTGATTCAGTCTTTTAGATGGTGGCTTGTGATTTGACGGATCAGTTTCTTCCTCGTCTTCTTCCGATTCTTCTTCTTCCTGTTCTGTAGCAGCAGTCTTTCCGTTCACTTTATCAGGTATTGGGTCTACAGTTCGGTCAATTTCTGGACATCTATACCTTGTTTCGGCTTGTCTGTAAAAGGCCAAGTTGTCTCTGGTCTTATCTGGAATATTTCTAAGGTCCTCTGAATACCTAAGAGGTGAATTTGGATTTAGTGTACTAACTTGATAGTAAGGATACTTTTGTCGATCAAATGTTTCTCGCTTACGCCTCTTCCCCTGGCGAAACGGTAATAAAGGTTGTTCCTCCTTTCCGAGACTCAAAATCGTTACGACGTTTATTTCATTTTGCTTCTTCGGTATTGCCGTTGTGCTTAACGTAGTTGCTGGAATATCTTCAGTCAGAATCTCTCCAACTCCATCATTCGCAGCTTTAGTTCCTGGAAGGGAAGTTGAAGTTGGCCATATTTTTTTCTTCAACACATTTTCTTTAATTGCCGAAGCTTTAAATTCACTGTCTTTGAGCTTAGTCTGTTTAAGTACTTTTGGTAGGGATTTGCTGATTGGTTTATCCTTGGTGGCATTTTCAGGTTTCGTTAGAACTTTAATCCCTCCTTCGACTTTCGGCTTCACATTTACATCATAAGCTTCCTTGGTCAACACTTTTGTAGTGTCATTGGAAGGGTTTTTGACATTTTGAGTTGCAGATGAGGAAGCGTCAGCGTTTTCAGCACCACCCACGTTACTATCTTCTTTGATTTGTTCAAGGATCTTATCAGGAATCTTTTTAACAATTTTCCTATCATGAAGTTTACCAGCCTGTTCGAATGCTTCACCTGTTTCTGCATTTTTCTCGTGGCCTGCATGATCATAAGCATCATCTTCATATCCCTCTTCTGAGTAAACTGTATGAATTTTGGAATCCTTCACTAACTCTTTTAATCTTTCATCATCGGCAGCAGATCTAGGAAGATGTTTTTCATCTTCGCTATGTCTTACTTGAGCGTACAATCGCACAGGCACAAACTGATCTTCTTTGGAATCTTCACTTTCGTCTTCTCTCTCTGGTAGGTACTTGCCAAGCTTGTGCTGCTGAGGTACTTGATCGAATTGCTTACTGAGATCCGCTTTAGTCCTTTCAAATACCTTTTGTCCTTGGAGGAAGGTTTCGTAGCCATCAGGTACCTCATCGTCTTCTTCCAAGTCAACGGGTTTATCTCCTCTTATAAAAGGTCTATGCTTTTTACCTCTAATAGCCCATTGGCCTTCACCGGGGTATATTGGCTTAGTTGGTACCTCATACTCTTCATGAGTTGGTTCGTCCTCCGCTTCTTCTCTGTCATACTCTTGTTCTTCTCTCTCATATTGATTATCATCAGCTTGAGGCTCATGAGTCTTGTAATCCCTATAGTCTTTTTTAAGATGGTTGATGACTTTGGAAGATCTAACTGAAGGGTGTGTATGTTGGTCTGGCTGCTTCTTGTTGTATCGGAAAGTTATAGGACTTTTAGCGTAACTCTGTCTTTCGGTGTTGTTTAGCTTTTGAGCTTGATTCAAAGGATTGCTTTGGTAACTTTGTATCCGTGGTTCAGGTGGTATATAAGGTAAAGGCTGAATTTGTTGGTTAGTATTTTGAGCAAATGGATCATATACAACATGTGGCTGATACACAGGCTTTTTTGGCGTTTGTTTGTTTTTTAGCCCTGGTTTCTTATAGTTCAGATCTTTTTTCTGTTGGTGTTTTGGCACATTTTGTTGCTGTAAAGGACTATACGTAATCGATATGGGTTGCTGTGTTACAATACCATGTCTTCCTTGCGCACGAACTGGATTTACGTATTGTTGTTGACCAATGTAACCTCCAGGTTGTTGTTGATTGAATTGGTTTTCAGGTGGTTTCCAATTGTAAGATGCACCCTGATGTTGATTCGTTGGATTTAGTATATTTTTCAGCCTGGCAGGAGGTAACCAGGTATTACTTGATGACACCTTCTGGTTTTTCTTGGGATTAAGTGCATTTTCTAAGCTCGCAGGTGGCGCCCAGCTATTTGAGGCACCTATCCTTTGATTCGTATGGATTGGATTTTGTGATACGTAACTAGGGTTTTGCACTAAGGGTGTTGATTTAACATTAGGTCCTAAATAGTCTCTACTCTGTCGCCAACTGTCCTGTGCAGAGGCAACAGCAGTAAAGGTAACTAGGAATAAAATCGTCTTCATTGTGGAAAATGTGTTCCACAGTTCATGTTTAGTTTTTATATCACAGGTCACAGGTTGGGTAGGTAGCTTATTTTAGTAGCCCTCACATGGCTCCGCTGCAACGACCTGCAAGACAAATACAAATAAATGTTTTGGTAAAAGAATATGGTGGTGATTGCCAAACCTTGAAGATGCTTATTTTTATCAGATATTCAAAACTTTTTATTAAAAAAAATAATAAAATTAATAATATACGAGAATAAGGTCAAAAGTTCTTGGCCTGTCACAGAGAAGGTACTCCAGTTAGTTTTTGTGATAGTTTGTGATTCCTGCATGGGTACATAATTATGTGATTTGTTCCTATGAGAAGTTTCAACTTGGTCTTACAAGTAGTTTGTTTACACTTTTTTTCTAGTGCGAGTCTTGCATGGCTTTTTTAAGATAGACCAGAATATCGTATCATCAATTTTTTGTCTTGGGTGGAAAAGGAAATTCCTCTAGAGTTAACAAAGGTCTACGCGGACATTATTCCTCTGATTTCAACTGCTCCCTTGGAGATTAGACAAGTGACAGCTAAAAAGCAGAGCAATACCTGAAACTGTCGACGGAATGGTGTTGGACTTTATGGAAGATAGGATCCGAAATATCTTAGGGAAAAGAACTGATGGTGCGGAAGTTCTATGCAAATTTGGCTTCGCATTTGCGGCATGCCGATTTAAAGCAAATGCGCTTTCGCACAATGTTTGGACAAGTTCAACAGGGATCCGATCAATTGTAAGCGGCGATTCATTACCATTAATAAGAGATTGACTTACCACTCAACGTCAGAAATAAAACAGCAGTAGAAGCAGTGGGTGGGAGTCGGAGGCTCAGCGGCAAAGAAAAAAATTGTATGCATCTGCTGAAAAGGCCATGGCCAGTTTATTTTGGGATGCGAAAGTGATTCTATTAATTGACTACATTGAAAAGGGTAAAACAATTACAGGCAAATATATTATTCCTGCCCCCTTGATCATCTGTATGCCAAAATTCGCGGAAAGATGCCTGGTTTGGAGAGGACAAAGAACATTTTTCGTCAGGACAATGCACCTGCTCACAAAGACGTGCTAGAGATGGGAAAACTGGGGTATTTTGGAAATGACTTGCTCGACCATCAGCTCTATTCTCCTGATTTGGCACTTTCAGACTTCTAGCTGTTCCCAAACCTGTAGAAAGCAACTCGCGTCTGATAGAGAAGTTGAGAGGGTCGTAGATGAATATTTTGACAGCCATCACTCCCACCTCCGAGGTGAAATCGTCATGCTGTAAAAGCCTTGGACCAAATGTGTTGGAGTCGAAAGAGATTATGCGGGAAAATAAAATTATCCTTAACTAGAAATCGCAGTATTTTATTGTCGGGCCGAGAACTTTTCACTTTAGTCTCGTGTATTTGAAATTTTCGTTAAAATCGTTTAAAATAAGTAGTTATTTATATATTTTATGTGCTCAAAACATTACTGTGATATCTGGGAGCTGTCGGTAATATACTATATTCCAAGGCTATTTCATATTGCATTTGACAGCATCTGATGTACTGAATACGTCACTCCCATGGTATCATTGGAATGTTTTTCCATGAGAACTGTTCCTCTGGGTTTAAGAATTTGCACATAAAAATGCTTATTATAAAATATTTCTAACTGTTTGCAAAATGACTGTCCATTTCCGACAGCTTATAACAAGGTAATCCGTACTTCCTTGTATATTCTTACAACTCTTACGTAATGATTTTTTCGCGATATCAGCAAAAAGTCAACATTCGGGATCCGTTAAAAATATAATCAGTTTTCAGTCAAGGAATGTTAGCGATATCTAATAAAATTTCAGATTTCTCTTTTATAACCGCAAAGCGACCTGCCTTGGTTGTGCGAGGTTTAGACTTATTTGAAATTATCTGTCCACATTACTTGTGTGAAAAGAACGTGTCCGCGTTGTCACCTAGTTTTATGTTTTTAATACAAACCTTCTAGTTACAGAGTTCATGGAGTGGATTATCATCAACAAAGTTCGGCGACTTTTCACGTAAACCTTTAACCCCTAGTTTCAGTCAACCATTTTCCAACGGACGCATCAGAAACGTTAGCAGTACATGTTCTCTACAAATCGAACGTTTTTTGTCTTTAGGTTTGTCGGTTAACAATAGCAGGTGCATAAGACACTTTCAAGTATACTACAAAGGGACTGTAATTCTCATTCATTTTTCATTTCTACAGTCACATAGAAAAGTTGAACTAACTAGAATCACCGAGGCTTTAGAACAAGCCTTTAATGATAATCAAAACAAACTACTGATTACGAATATTACTGCATCGAACGCTTAAACGCGATTATGGGAGTAGTACGCTAGTCACTTTTCAGATGTGTTTTTATTTTGTATGAAGCTTGAATGGAATCGGCAGTTTTTGTTCTTGGGATAATTGCTATAATATATACATGGACTATTATCATAAATTTGATATTCTCACATATTAAAGTTTCACCATAAATAATTTCATAGAAATGTCTCAAAAGCTGATCATGTAGAACTTTCAGGGCATGTTAAACAAGAAAGCTGAAAAATTCATGATTTCAGTCGTACTCGAGAGCTCGGTACAAAAGCAAAGTGCAGCCCATGCCCAGTTTGATTTTGGTGCTACCAGGCGTGTTGTACGAGATGGTACGGCCGGCGGTTGGAAAGAAGTTTGATATAGTGTCAGCTTAAGCAAAACGACGGCAAAATAACTGTTCCTCCATAACTGGTATTCGGCACGTGTTGACTACCCGCAGTAGAATAGAATACTCCCTGAGGAATAATTCCATTTTCAGACAGCTATTGACGTCCTTTAAATAAGTTTCTGAATATATCCACAAAATAATTTGTGCCTACTGTTCTCCATCTCATTAAGTGGTTGATCGCAAAGCTACGTTGGTCCTTAGAGGTGAGACTCGTGGAGGATGCAGAAACTTCTCCACCTTTTCTCCTAAGAATGACCCGGGAAGCGACTCTTATATCAGTGGAATACAGTTCTCCAAAGATAATACGAGTGTAACCACACCCACTTTCTTCGGGTAATTTTGCTCCCTGATATCAAAAACTGTCTTCTAGCTGTCGCGCAAGACACATCACATAAACTAACAAATCCACCATACTTTAGAAATTCTGCAGAGTTTCTCCATTTCACCTCTAATAAATCTAAGAGTTCAAAGTGCCAGATCGATATCGCGGAACTTCTAACTTTGTTGTTAAATCCGTTGTAATACAGGGTGGTCCATAAGTCCTTTGAAATTTCAAATTTGAATAAAATTTAACGGGTGAGCGTGAGCGGCGCGGGCGAGGTGGGGGCAGTATCTTCAGTGTATGGGAATTCAGTCGCCATGGAGTGTTTCACTGGAGCGGATCGTGCTTTTTGTGTGCGCGCGTTTTATCAAAATAATGATTCGGCAACCATTGCGCGGCGTAAATATCGAGAATACCACAATTTACACAATTTTACAAAGTGTCCAACAGCTCAAACGATTAAGAACTGGGTTGCTAAGTTCGAAGAGACTGGTTCGACGTTAGATAAACAGCGGTGGGGTCGACCAAGGACAACTCGCATTGAAGAAAACATCAACATTGTGGCACAGTCTGTTTGTCAAAATCCTACCCAGTCTAGTCGTAAGCGTTCCAGTGCACTAAACGTACCCAGAACATCTTTACAGCGGATTTTAAGGAAAGATTTACGTCTGCACGCTTACAAAATTCAGTTAGTGCAGGAATTAAAAGATAATGACGCTATTCAGAGACTAAACTTTAGCGAATAAAATGTTCGAATCGATTTTCTTCGCTCAATAATGTGTTGTTCTCGGACGAGGCTCACTTCCATTTAAACGGGCATGTAAATAAACAAAATTGCCGTTATTGGAGCCCCGAAAATCCAAGGCGTAAGCATCAGAAGCCCTTACACAGCCCTAAAGTTACAGTTTGGGCTGCTATGTCAGCGCATGGCATCGTAGGCCCTTATTTTTTTGAGGACGACAGAGGTCGCGCATTAACTGTTACTTCGGAGCGGTATGTAGCAATGATAGAAGAGTTTTTAACACCAGCGTTGCAGAATTTTCCAGGCTATAATACGCAGACCTGGTTTCAACAGGACGGAGCAACTGCCCACACCTCCAACACTTCTATGCCCGTCGTCTGTCAACTTTTTCCCAGCAAAGTAATTTCTCGAAGAGGAGACATTTCCTGGCCACCACGTAGTCCCGATTTGACCCCAATGGACTTCTTTTTATGGGGCTACCTCAAGAGTAAAGTGTACGACACCACTCCGCGATCATTTGATGTCCTGAAAGAAAATATCCGAAGAGAAATGGCAAGCATTACAGTGTTGACTTGCCGCGCAGCCATCGACAATTTTAGACGTCGTTTATACTCGTATGAGTGCCGTGATCGTAATGGATTGCATTTAGACGATGTGATTTTTAAAACATAATTCCCATTCAATAAATATGATAACAAAATATAATAATTCTTCATAATGTAACTAGTTTGGTTTTATTCCTTTTTTTCCAGCTCAAAGGACTTATGGGCCACCTTGTACTTCCTCCACGAGTCACTATTCTCGATACACACTTTAGACTGACTTAAACTTCAGTTAATCTCTCTGGTTGGAAGTTTGGTGGTTCCAGTAAGTCCGCGGATGGGAGCTTGGAACTTTGCGGATTCGATGATAATTGCAGTAGACATATCAGGTAAATTAGGTTTTTATGGAGCATAGTTCAAAGTTTAATGAAATGGCATGGTAGATTGATGAGAATGCATTTTCTAGTTTCTTAAACTCACGTGAAGAAAAATAATTGTTTAGGTACATGATAGGGCTGAGAGACGGAGAGTGTAAGTAATCTTTTATCCATGTGAGAAATATAAAAAAAAAAATAATTAAAATATTCAGTAGTAGCACCTCAGTGACAGTTCTCAGCTAGGAGCTCAATACGTTTAGCTTAAAGCTTTAATCAGAAGAGGCGTTAACGGATATACAATATATGGTATATCCACGAGCATGACACAGCGAAAGCATCATAGGGAGAGCTACCCCGCTAACGAGATGGATTTGTAGGATTTAGGAGAGCGGGGACGGGAGCCGAGTCTCCTGTTGGGCGGCCAACAACCAGGTGACGGGATCATTTATAATCCATATTGTTAGCTCGTTGTATAATGTTTTGGTAAGCTGCTAGAAGTATTAAACACCCGAAGAGGTAGAAGTCATTCCAGCTGTCTCCTATTTAGATGCCGAAATGAAAGTGAGTCTATTCTCTCAAACAAATATCGATAAAAAAGCATAAACCTAAACTTTAAATTGATCCAAAAGAGTATCCAATCTCCAAAGCCAGATTTCTTGCCATATCTATTGATTTTCGTACAGTAGTTCAGATGCTACTGCCAATCATCTGATAAGCTTATATTTTGTGTATATTTTTGAAGGTTCTATCTATTTGGGGCAGTATTTTCAGTGGATTTCTAGAATTCGTACATTAGGAAATATTACAATATGTTTCTTAAAAGGATCAGTGACCAAAAATGCAATTCTTCAAACCTTATACATTACAAAAAAACCCCACAGAAACCTTGTGGGGAATAGTTTTTGACTATTTTTTCAAATTGTTCTATATCTCAACACGTATAACAAAAATGTGCAGTGATCCAAATTTTTTCTACGGCTGGTTTCCGAGATACAGGTTCTCCAAGTTTGCCAGTTACTGCGTGTTGTAGGTTTGGTAAACGATATGTAATATTTGTTTGATATTCATTTACATCCCCTGCTGGCCAGTTCGGCAATCCTGTTATACCTACAGGGTGGCCCAAAAAATATCTCCAAAAGCTGTTCAGGATATCCTGCGGTTCCTGCGGCGTTTTTGTGGGAATATAGTTTAAAGTGCTACAATGTTGAATTTTAACAGGTATATATACTTGACTAGATATCTAAAAACAACTTTCAAGTACACGGATACAACTAAATGATTCAAGAACTTCAAGGAATGGAATTAGGTAGCAGAAAATTCAATACTCTCTCTATCAAAGAGGTCGAAGTACTGATCGCCAAACTTTCATTTGCCGCGACAAAATGTATAAACTGTACTATACAACTACTTGACAAAACTCAGAAATATGTGGGTCTATCCAAATATGTAATAAAACCATGGATATTAATCAGAAAGCAACCTTGCTATAAGTCATTAATCGAATACCATATGTGAAATCCACAGGAAACAGTTTTTGAAAGAGTTTGAATCTTGTACCAGAATTTCATCCATGTAAGTTCGCACCACTCTGATGATATAAAACGTTAATAAATATCAAACAACTATTACATATCGTGTACCGAACCCACAATACTGCCCAACTTGGAGGCCCTGTAGCTGGGCAGCTACTCGTGAAAAAACTTTAGACTCATCCACATTTTTGTTCTTCGTGTTCAGATCTACAAAATACTAAAATTTTCGAAAAAATTATCCCAAAGGCCCCTCAACAAAATGTCGCCGTACTATTTTGAATCAAGTCAGTTATTTGCTTTATTTGCGTGGTGCTGGTCTAAGAAATCCTTGATGCTGAAACATCCCTATTAATTTAATAAGTGACAGTACAGTCTAGTGCTTCATCCGTCAGCTATTCTCTCATATGAGAGTGATAAGGACGCCTTTAATTAAAGTTGGAGTAAACTGCTCCAACTAGAACCATCTGAGGGTTATATGATATAAGTGCAGTAATTTATCTTAGCAGAACAAGGATGCAGCAATGGATACGAGGTTACAATAAGTCAACAGTAAAGGTCATGTTTAATTATCAAGAAATAAAGGTTCCTCGCGCTTAATAGCTCTTTTGATTGTAGTTTATTACCTTTCTATATTATTTTGATTAGATGCAAAACCTAACGGGAGAGTGTTCTGGAATCACGCATGCGACAGTAGAATTTTGTCTTTGTGATTATCATCGTTTGACGCTTTTATCAAGTATTTAAGGGTGGTCAATAACGAAGAAAAAAGTCAGTATTTTCAAGCCATACTGTCGAACGATGAAAAAATCTCAAACACATAATTTATTGTCGCATGACCTTAAACTCGTGAGATTTTGTCAAATAAAAAATGTCGGTTATCAAGTTCAATAGGGCATTTTGTTTGAGCGATATTTTAGCTATCTTGCATGCGACATTGACCATTCGCCATTCAAGAACCCCGCCCCCCGTATAGCAAAACTAGGGGATCAATGGCTCATAAATTAATGGTGTGAATCATACTACTATTTGTATATTGAAGTACAGACTGCGTCTGACCAGCTGTTATTAATACGAGAATCCATTCCTGGGTACCGTTGACCTTCTATGGCTGATATAATAGCAATTCCTGGGTTGTATGACCATCTTCTGAAATAGTCTTTTTCTAGACAGAGGAAAGCTTTTATAGCCACAGACAAATCGCTCGATAGCATTTCCCCGTCGGCCTTTCCAGCCCGAAGTGTAAGATTCTCCAGTGCTAGCATACTTACTAAAGCCCCTCAGTTATTCACCACACATCCTAGCACGGTAATGTTTGCAGCATTTATTCCTAGGGGGTAGACTTGCGCTAGGCTTTCAAATCAAAGGTATTAGTCATCTACTCTCCATCGTATACAGGGTGTTTCACAATTTACCCGAAAAATTAATAATTTATTGTAGCAAATGTTGTACCAAACAATTGACAAAAACAATATACATGGGATTTTTTGTTTTGTCATACTGATAAGAACGGGTAAATAAGGTTTAATCTGTATCGTGGGTGATCTGAATGAAGAACCGTCGATTTTTGTGGAGTTAAATAAAAAAGTATTTTGCGAGTTTATGTTTTCAATTATTGATTAATAAAAATGGCACAAAACATTGTTTGAGCGTACGGAGGAGCGGTGCAAAATTCGCAAGCGGCTTCTCGTCTGAATCAGGTATACCAGATACGTTGGATCGGAAGGTGTAGACCAATTGCATGGCCTCCACGGTCTCCCGATCTAAATACTCTAAACTTCTTTTTATGGGAATATTTGTAAAACGAGGTATACCGTACTCCTTTTCAGAATATTGAAGAATTGCGGGACCAAATCACAGTGGCTGCCGATAATTTGAGCCTTCAGGCACAGCAGGAAGGAGGTGTATTTGGATTAGTGCGCCGAAATTGGATTAAACCCACCCAGCTTTTATCAGTAAGTGAACTGTTAAACTGTATTATTTTATTATCTCGATTTCTGTAGAACTTTTTTTGTGAAATCAACTTCTTTCGTAACAGTGCATATGTGGTTAAAATTTGTCGGATAAGTTGTGAAACGTATATAGGTACATTTGTACCTATGTACAATATGTGCAAGCATTACCGAGTAAGTTGGCACCTACTGCTGATTCCTGTTTTGTCCTTCTGCATCTTGTTCAGCATCATCTGCCTCACTTTTGGTTGAACATCAACACATCTGTCCCAGCTTACATGCGTGGCAAAATAGTCAGCAGCCTAGCCTTGCAGCTGTCTCTGGTAGACGGGTTCTACAATATTCAGTTAGGTCAATAGGACTACCATCCTTTACTTTGCAATAAACGCATTTCACGTTATGGTCTCTTTCCTACCCTCTTTAGGTAGCTGCCAAAAGAATCTTGTCCTGTTAGCAACTGCGCAGTATAGTAATCTATTCGTAACGCTCCCTTTTTATAAAGCGTTCAATTCTCCTCAGCCAGCAAATAAATTGGCAGGATACCAGCCACTACCAGCAGCGCTGGAGACCGTTCTGTAAGCGCAGACCACGACCACGCGCAGCACTAATTTTCGTTTCCTTGTTATAGATAGGGGCTCCGTGCAGCATAATCGACTTAGATATCATTACTGGAGCCTCCATCAGATGGCATCAGCCGTATTAGTTCTTCAGTAGCCTGAGATGGCTGATTACACTTTAGCCCTGTTGCCCAAGTGTTCACAATTTTTAAAGTAAGCAAACTGCAGTCCCATAACACTTATTTTACTTTTTAAGTAAAGCTCAAACACAGCAAAGCACGGAAAACACGATAATTCATTCAGTTGTGAAGTATGCTAGTTTGGTAATTATTCAATAATAGCTCAAGATTAACTCAGAGTAAAAATTGGACCAAGCATTTCCAGTTGGGTCAGCGACTTCAGCCATCTGACGTGTAGGCGCTGCCCACACAATCTTTTTTTTATCAAATTGGCAGTAAACTGGATCAGTTGGGAATTAATACCGTTACGTGAAGGGAAAACCGTATGTTGACCTCTTTCTAAATCCCAATCCCACAGTAGGTTGGGTGACGGAATCCGTACTTATAGCTTTTTTGTGCTCAGGATATTTTTAGTATCTAAGTAAGGATATTTCGGTGTATTTTATTGTGAATTCCCTCAGGAGGTTCTAAGGTAAAAAGATACACTTGTACAGTGTAACCATGTTTCAATGAATATTTGATTTATTTGATGTTGCATTAAGTCTAATATATAGTGTATTTTGTTTAGCAAGTGCAATGTTTGCAACTAAACCTGATTTTCTGCAAAAAAAACGGCGTCAAGTAGGCTGACTCTGCACGTTCCACGCAACGTCCTTACCGGTACAAACTAGACTCTAAGAAGAAAGTCAGTCAAACAGGTCCATACAATTAGTCCATAGACACATTCTTTCCCTGACCTACCGGTAGTGCATCTGGAAACGTCGCCTCTCCCCGATACATAACTCGAGCAGACGTGGCAACATGGTAGTGCGGTCAGAGCATAGAAAAACACTAAGCTGCTGCAGGGGTACGTGTGATTTCATACTAGAACACTCATCACGGTAGGAGCACGACGTCAGCAGCAGAGAGAGAGAGAGAGAGAGAGAATAATAAAGTTTTCAGAGTTAATGTATAGAGACATCTATGATGTGTGAAATATGTCTAATAAGTACGTAGAATTACCAATGTTGGGAATGCATAAATACACCAGCATAAAAAAAATGAGATATACCCTCCCCACCCCCTTACAACCCCCACCCAGTTTTTTTACCTCCAAATTTTTTTTTTATAAAATGTATCAGGACCCTCTGAAATGTCAAAAACGCAGTTTGAGCGATTTTTACTGTTTTCTCCAACCGCCACTAAACGGATTTTCAAAAACTATAAAGCTTTTACGTCCTTGACATAATAGTAACGTTGTGTGAAAATTTCATCAAAATTCGAGTGGTACTTCTCAAGCTTTAGGTGGTTATAAGTTTGCGGTCATTGTCGAAGTCAGTTTTCGTCACTGGGGATGATTTTAATATTCTTTTTTACTAACTTAAATGATCGCTTATAATTCGCCCAATACTTCGATCAGAAATATTCGGAGTTTCTGATGAGTCTATATGTGATACACCTTTCTTTCATTATATGCAGCTTCGCACGTTCTTTCCGGTTGATATATGTGACCAGAATGAACTTGGACCGTCTTCTTAAGATATGTTTGAAATTTAAATACAATTTCTCGATGATCCTCAAGGACGGTTTATCATCAACAAATACTTTTTATCTTGTCGTCACATTCTTTAGTAGATAGACCCAGGCGAAAATTATGGCAAGTAATGAAGTGGCAAGTATCCGTCGAGAATGGCTTCATAGCGATACTTCAAAAACCTGTTAATTAATTTGCATTAACAGCTAAATGCTTATATTTTGTATTTGCACTAAGCAAAGTGGGTATTTTATAAAAATCTAACTGCATTGGAGTTACTTGTCATAGGATAACACTTGCCGTATTCGATAAGGTATTAACTCTAAAGAGTATGTAAAGTATGTATTTGTAAGTGTTCTAAAATACTTTCACTTGTGTAATACTCCTATAATCGGCAGGTCTTTGCAATGATATGCATTTCGGTTAGGTTAGCTAAAATTATTATATCGTTGTTTATAAATATGTGCCTGTAATGTCAATTGACTTGTCAAAAATAAAAATGGTGTGAGTATAAAGAAGCCAAACACGTGCTTCATCACTATCTCCTTAAACTTTCAAGGACGCTCAGATAATTTTTCCCATACGTAAGTAGGAGTATATCAGTAGCTCTACCTTTTCGATAATGCCCCTCCTTCAGCCTGGAGAAATTCGATTATAAGTTGAACGGTTCTACGTAATTACGTCCACCAAAAATGAAAGACCACTCGGCGAGCGGCATTTGAAGTACAAGCTAGAGAAATATCGCTGTTAAATTCTTTACTTTTAATTAAATGAATATAAACAAAATTAGCTTTATGTAACAAATCTGTTGGACCATGAAATAGAATCGCTTGCTCAGAAATACCATATTCGATACCGCAACAAAGTAAATAGTAAGGTATTTTGCATTCTACCGACAACGTTAATAGCAAAATAACTTAATCAATAAAAAAGCATATATTACGTGTAAAGAATTCAGGGTTATGTGATACTATGTGTAGCGTGCAACCTGTTCTGCGTATATGTTCAC